GGCGGCCGCGCGCCAGCCTCGGCCTCGCCCCCGGCGGAGTGCGCTGCACCTTGGCGGCCGCCACACAGAACGTCAGCCTGCGCACACGCCATTGTTTAGCCAGGCTGTCCTCGCCGTTTAGTTGCCTCATAAAATTATTAGTGAAAAAAGGTGTCCTGGTAAATATCTTGGAACTGAAATTCCTTTTCTTTTTTTAAACTGCGAATTAGGTTGACGCTAAAACCACATCCTCCCGGGCGTAGTTGCATTCCCTTTGTTCCTCACAGAGAAATGCCCATCCCGGAATTGAGCAGCCTTTCTGACACCAAGAGGTGCGTGCCTTTCAACCTCGCTGGCATCAGGACGAGGACTGTGCTTTTCCAGTCCAGCCTGTGTAACAGTCGGCAGAGGGAGCAGAGGGGACTGCCGCCTTCACAACTCCGGCTGAATACCGGAGCTTCTGAGTCTAATTTCATTCAGAATGCAGCAGCCATTAGCTGCTTCTCTCTAGGAAACTTAACATTCTGGATTATTCACAGAACTATCATTGCCCAAAGGAATGATCCACAGCCCCGGATTCTCCCATCTTCTCTGCTATGAAAAATCAGCCAGAAGATGTCATTCGGAATCCTGTGCTGTAGTAGAAAACTATTGCCTATGAATCAGTGCAATGCCCTGGCCTTAAAAAAGATGCAGTTTTAAAGAAAGGATTCTTCTGGTTCTGTGGGGACTTCACTACGTGTAGACTTTCTATCCTGTCGATGCAGTCTTTTACTCTACAGCCCTTATTCCCTGCAGGTTTGGGTAAGCTCAACTCTCCTGGTTTTGAAGTCCCTCATTGTGAGTAAAATGAATTACTGAAGCAGTTCTCTCCTGTGGATGCTTCACAAGATGCATAACTCTGTCCCCCGAGTTAACAACTTCCAGGAGACATGCTGCAGTTTTTAGTGGAAGTATGTTCGTGCTCTTCGCCCAGGACTCGGTGTGAGACCACACTCCTTTCCCTGATAGCTCCACATGAAAGGAGCTACCGTTCACCATAATTCTCTTTCAACAGAGCTGCTTCAGTTCGTAGACTCACTCTTTTACTGGAAGAAATGCTCACAAACTCCCATGTTCTAGCTTGTGTTCTCATCAACCAGGAAGGAAGATTCCTAATACACATGATACTGAACTGAATCCTCGGAAGGCCACTGTGTTAGTAGTGGGATTAAGAACTGAACCTACAATGGCTTCTCTATAAGTAGAAGTCTCAGAAAGTAGCTTGAAAACGATCAAACTGCTTCCAACTAACAACTGCACAACAGAAGCAAATCCACTTTATTGTTAAAGAAACAACAAAACCCAACCAAAAATGGAAAATTCATGAAGGCTAGTATGCAATCAAAAATGATTGGGCAAGCAAAGAAGCACAGAATTATGACCCATGGCCAGGAAAGAAAGTAACAAACAGAACTAGAAGTAAAAGATAAAGTGAAACTGGCAAACAAATCTGTTTGTCTGACAGGCACTTATCCCTCCTGACTCCAGCAAGCAGGCCTGCCCCACCTGTGGCATCCACAGACACACGGCCACCAACTCCATGCCAGTTCTACATTTGGCTTTTCCTTGGCACAGGGCAGCAGAGGCACAAACTAACCAATGAACCTGACCCTGGATGTGGACAATATCTGGGCAGAAAAGGTAAGCCTGGAATCCAGCAGTCCCAGGGAAAAAGTACAGACTTGGCCAGCAACTTCAGGGACCCCACTGCTCCATGCCCACAGTGACTGAATGAAAGACAAGCAGAAAGCCACCGCAGATGGAGCAGGCCAAACATGGACCCTCCTCCAAAGTGTGTGCTCAGTCTGGGAAGAACACAGGTCCTGCTGTCCTCTGGGAGCAACCAAGCCCTAAAGCTAGGCAGAGCAAGTGACTGGCTGGATCCTAAGGCTGCAGATACTGGGTAAGAGCCACCATTCAAAAACAGGATTTTTCTTTTTCTTTGACTCAATTTTTTCTTGGTTTTTCTATTTTTTGTTTTTTCTCTTTCCTTCATTGGGTTACTGGGGGGACTTGAGGGATTTTTTTTCTTCTTTTTTGACATTTTTTCTCTTTTAGTTTCTTTTCTCTCCTTTTCTCTTTTCCTCTTTCAGCTTCACTCCCTTCTTTTACTTCCTGTACTTTGCTCTCTTCTTTCTTTTTTAAATATTTTCCTTGTTTGTTCTTTCCATCAACTGTTCTCTCACCCTGTTTTTCTTCTGCTCCCTGGTAGGACTGACCCCATCTCACTTTTCTGTCTTCCTTCTCATATCCCATTAATTAATTTTCAAATTTTATTCTTTTCATTCTCTAGTTCCCTACCCCTAGTCAGAACTGGAAGACAGGGCTGTTGTCTGTGTGACCAATTAATGTGAGTTATAAACAACAAGAGAACATGAAAAATGAATTCAACAGCTCTTATATGGTGTGAGGAAGACTAAGATTAATTGGAATTAGTGAAAAATCAGAAGACAGCACAAATGGCAGAAGAAAACCTGTTTATTGAAATAACAGCAGAAAAGTTTATATAAAGGAAAAGAATTTAACACAGATAAGTGAGGCACATAGAACCTCAAATAGCCACAATCAGAAAAGAACCTCTCTATGAAACATCATAGTCAAAACCCTGGAGGTCCAATATAAGGACAAAATTTAAAAGTGGTTACAGAAAAGCAGCAAATCATATATAAAGGTAAACCCATTAGAATTACAGCAGACTTCTCAACACAAACCTTAAAGGCCAGGAAAGCTAGGAGTGAAGTATTTCATCCTAAAAGAAAACAATTTCCAAGGCTGATATTTGCTGCAAAACTATCTTTCAGAGTTGATGGAGAAATAAGATATTTTCTTGATAAAAAGCACCGAAGGAAATTCATTACCACCAAACCAGCATTTCAAAAGATTCTCAAGAATATCCTAGAAAGGGACAATAAAGCTAACAATGACAAAAGGTCCGGTACTGCAAACACACCAGGCAGAGTGAGTTAAGTAGAAGGGAAAGACAGGGAAATGGCCATGAGAAAATAAGGCAATGATGGGAATGTCAATACCTCTCAGCAATAACTCTCAATGTGAATAGTCTTAGTTCCCCAATCAAAAGACTCCAAATGACAGAATGGATCAAGAAAAATTCAAAGTTAGGCAGTATAAAAGAAGAATAGGGGCTGGGGATTTAGCTCAGCGGCAAAAGCGCCTGCCTGGCAAGCACAAGGTCGTGAGTTCGGTTCCTGGTACCGGAGAAAAACCAAAAAAAAAAAAAAAAAAAAAAAAAAACAGAAGTATAATTTAACCCAACTTAATAAAACAAGTAAAAGCTGGGCATGGTGGTGCATGCTTGTAATCCCAGCACTTGGGAGGTTGAGGCAGGATTGCCATGAGTTTGAGGCCAGCCTGGGCTACATAAGAGTTCAAGGCCAGCCTGAACTGCATAGCAAGGCTGTCTCAAAACCCGCCCCAAAATAAATAAATAAAACAAGTAATACTGGTCATAAAAGATCAGATAAACATAAACACAATTATACTGGGCAACCTCAATACTCTATTTTCACAAATAGGTCAACTAGTCAAAAAAATCAACAAAGAAAAATGAGTTGAACAAAACCTTTTGAACAAATGGACTTAATAGATATCTACAGTGTTCCACCCAATAACAATAGAATACACATTCTGCACAGCAGCACATGGAACTTTCTCCAAAATAGACCACATCATAGCCTACAAGGCAACCTTAAGTCTATGTGAAAGAATTAAAATTATAGCACGCATATTATCAGATCATAGTGCAATGAAGCTAGAAATTAACAAGTTTGAACAATACCTCTTTCCCATTGTCCTGTGTGAATGTCTTTCCAAAAGATAGGTTGTCCTATCCATTCTGGCAGTCCCTTAATAATGATGGCCCAAAATTTTTCTGCTGCTCTAGTAGATGAATTTTTACTAACATCCAAAAAAGTTAAAGTGAATGGGGCTTTATGTAATAATTGATGTGGTGAGCTTCTATCCCTATCTCCCCCTTTTTGTTTTGCTAACATAAATTTAAGAGTAGCGTGTGCCCTTTCAACCACGCCTTGTCCCTGAGGACTGTATGGAATGTGAGTATAATGATTAACATCCCACAAGGCACAGAATTGTTGGAAGGAATGGGACACAAGCACATCTGTTGTCAGTTTTGATTGCTTTAGGTTTACCTATAATAGCAAAACACTCTTAACAAATGACTTTTAACATGTATAAATTTTTCTCCTGATTGTGCAGAGGCCTATATAAATCCAGAACATGTGTCAATGACAACGACATGTACAAATCCAAGTTTCCCAAAAGCAGGAGTATGTGTTACATCCATTTGCCACAACTCATTACTTTGCAATCCTCTAGGATTTGTTTCAGGCTAAAAAGTTGGATTATTAAACATTCTGCAAGGAGGACAAGATAAAGTGATTTTGCCAGTTTACTGAATGAAAGTTGAGGAAATTTTTGACATAAACCTTTGGTATTTACATGAGTTAAAGTATCAAATTGAGTGGCTAAAGAGTCTGGTGAAGAAATAGCAACAAGTTGATCAACTTCATTGTTATATTTAACCATGTCACCAGGAAGGTGTGAATGAGAACGAATATGAATTAGGAAAACAGGAAAATTTCTATTATGAATATGAGTTTGTAGTTGGCAGAACAATTGATCAAGGTCATTATCATTTGACAAAGTGGCTGTTTCTATATGATTAACTGTGAACCATACATACCGAGAGTCTGTAACAACATTAATAGACTCTGGAACAGCTAGTAAAAGTTGGGTAACTGCGTGAAGTTCTGCTCTTTGTACAGAATCAAAAGGGATGTGCCACACTTGAAATTCTTTCTACATATCCAGCTTTTCCATTGCTGCTACCATCAGTATATGTATGCTTCAGGTATGGGTTCAGAATGTACAATTTTAGGTAAAATCCACTTATGGTGTTTAAGAAACTGAAAAGCTTAGAATTTGGTAAATGATTGTCTATCTTTCCAATATAGTCAGCAAGCCCAGTTTGCCACTGTTCACTCATTTCTAATGCCTGATCTATCTGCTGTTTTGTCAAGGAACAAACAATAGATTCAGGGTCTTTTCCTGATAACTGCTGTGAGATCAACCTTTAAACACAAGTAAGCCCATTTTATCTATGCAAGTGGTGAGTTGCTTCTGTTCCTTATGTGGAAGAAAACTCCATTTTATTTTATTTTATTTTGTTTTATTTTATTTATTTATTTTTTTATACTGGGAATCAAACTCATGACCTCAGGCTTGCCAGGCAAGCGCTTATGCTGCTGAGCTACATCCCTGGCCTGAAAAATCCACTTTAAAACTGCTTCTTGGGGCTGGGGATTTAGCTCAGAGGCACAGCGCCTGCCTGGCAAGCGCAAGGTCGTGAGTTTGATTCCCGGTTCCGGAAAAAAAAACAAAAACTGCTTCTTCTTGCGATAACATAGCTGTAGGAGAATAAGATGATGGAAAAATTAAGAGTATAATTGGTTTGGATAAATCTATACAGGTTAGTTGAGCTTGATTATACACTGTTCTACCTAAGCTAATTCCTTTTCTCCTTCTGTTGTAAGGCAGCGAGGGCTATCTAAGGCTGAGTTCCCTTTAAGAGTATTAAAAAGATGCTGTAAAGCGTAAGTAGGAATGCCTAAAGAAGGTTGTAACCAATTAATATCTCCTAATAGTTTTTGAAAATCATTAAGAGTGAGAAGCTGATCTCTACAAATACTGATTTTTGGGAGGAATTACATGCTGTTTTTGAAGAACATTACCTAAATAAGTAATAAGATAGTTGGTCTGAATCTTATCTGGGGCTATCTGCAGGCCAAAGTTTATCAACAGCTGCTTGGCTACACAGAACATTTCCTGCAAGTATTTTTCTGAGCTAGCAGAAAAAAAGAATATCATCTATATAGTGAATAATCAGAGCATTGGGGAATCTTTTTCAAAATAATTGTAAAGGTTTATTAACATAATATTGGCAGAGCGTTGGACTATTTAGCATTCCTTGAGGGAGTACTTTCCAATGATATCTTTTTACTCCTGGTTATTAAAAATAGATACAGTAAATGCAAATTTTTCTCTATCAGCTGGTTTTAATGGAATGGTAAGAAAAAAAAAGTCTTTAAAGTCTACAGCAATTAACTTCCAGTTCTTAGGTATCATGATAGGGGAGGGTAGTCCAGGCTGTAATAGACCCATGGGTTGAATAACCCCATTAATTTTGTTAAGATCTGTGAACATTCTCCATTTACCTGATTTCTTTTTAATATCAAATACAAGGAAATTTCAGGGGCTAGTACATTATTCAATATGCCCTTCTGACAATTGTTCCTGTACTAATGATTTTAGGGCTTCTAATTGTTCTTTTGAAAGAGGACACTGCTCAACCCAAATTGGCTTATTAGTAAGCCATTTAAAGATAAAGCGAAGCCCTTTTCTACAGTGGCCTCTATTCTAAATTTGGATATCTTAGACCATGTCTCTCATTGGAAATGACAGGAGCTTGTATATCATCTTCAGTTTCACAAGGATTATAATGCATTTGGGCCATCATATTCTTTGCCTGAGATGATATATGTGCAATGCTTACATGCTCCCCACTGCATTGACAAATCCCTTCCCCGTAAGTTCTCTACTATATCAGCAACATATGATTTTAAAGTACCTGTTTGTGTTCCAGAAATTTGAAGAATGTTAACGCTTTGGTGAACATCCGTCATTGTTCCAAACCAGAGAAAACCATAGGCACCTTCATGGTAGGCCAAAGTTTAGGCCAGTGTTGCCAGGAAATTATACTCACATCTGCTCCCATGTCTACCAATCCCATAAAAATTTTTCTGTTTTTAGCTGTAACTGAGGTCTTTTATCCCCTATAAAAGTTTGCCAAAAAATCTTTTTTCCCATGCTTCTGAAACCCCTCATATGCTCTATGGGAGCAGCACAACCTTTTATATATGGAAGGAGCAATAACTGGGCTATATGCTCTCCTGCTTCAATTTGATATGGTTGTAAGGCCTGCATAATAACTTGGATCTCATTTTTACACTCAGAGTCTATCACCCCTGTTATGGTTAAAACATTGTGTCAACTTGGGGAGTCTAGAGGTTTGGCTAAGTAACTCAGCAGGAAGCCAGGATACTTACTTGGTATACATCCTGAGCCTGTGGAAGAGAAGGGCAAAGATTATGTGAGAGCTACACGCCCCTTAGGTGGGGGTAGTCTGTTTACAAAGTAAGGCAGGGAAAGAAGCTGCTTGCCGCCATTCCTCCGGTTTGCTCTGGCTGTTTGCTGTTCAGCTGCCATTCCCCCCTTTGCTCTTGTTGCTTTGCTGTCTTCTGCCTCAGAGCCAGCCAAGTATGGACTGAAACCTCCACAAACTGTAAGCCAAATAAACCTTTCCTTCCTTCATTTTGGGCGTTGGGTATTTTGTCTCAGCAACGAGAGAAAAGTAACCAAGACAGCCCCATTTATGGCTATATAATTATCTTCTGTCATCCCTTTATGTTAGAAACCACTATGAAGCGGCTCTGAGTAGGATTTAACATTAACCAATTGGCTTTCCATGTTTACTTGTGAATTGTCCAAAGCTTAGGCACCTTGTCTAAAGATGGGCAGTGGACTCATAGTAAGTGAACCTCTGTGAGTCACTCATCACCCTGAGGCCTGTATTGGCCTGTGAAGCTGTGAAGCCTCAAAGGACAAGATAAGGCCACAGCTGAGGACCCTGGCTCCAACCCAGTTAACTTAAAGGAGCCTTTAACTGCAGGCATCTCACTCCTGCTGTGAAGGCCTTCCTGGAGATAACATAGTTCTCCTAAATTAACACAATGTATTACTTGGAGAAGTCCTTAAAGGGTTTCCCAAGTCCGCTCAGATTCCCACTTTTCTTGAGTATCCCCCTCCTTTATTTGTAAACCATATAAATGCAGGCTGCCCAGAGAAGTCTTTGTCTAAACTCAGAGAATATCGAAGCTGTAAGAGAGTTAGACCCTCCTGGAGCCCTGAAATCATTCCAATTGTCTCATTTATTTAAGCCTTCTCTGTCGACTCGCTTGGGAGACTGTGGGCCTGACCAGTCTGCAATCACTAAGGGTTATTTAACCCTATACCTTTAGAATTCAAACTACCTCTTCCCACATGGAAACCTTCCCACAAGCAAATCCTTCAGGTAGAGGCCCATAAACTCCAGTTCTATATTTTTGAACTCCTGAAGCAGGGGATAACATAACATTTTCCAGGGAGGGGATGTCTACTGCTGCGCTACCGCTGGTGGTGGTAAAGAGATGACTGTGCTGCCATTGCTGACTGGAAATGCCTGATGACTCCCTGTATTGTTTGTCCTCTACCACGGGTTGGGTCCAAACTGAAGTTCCCCCACAGTATCAAAGGAGTGCCATCTTTATGATATTTTGATCAACACTGGTTAGCCCAGTGCCATCCTTTCTGACATCTAGGACAGTCCTTACAAGGTAAAGGGTTTTCTGAAGCTTTAGAGTTTTGTTCTATCTGGTTCTCAGTTCTTTGTTTTCCTGATCCACGTTCCTTTTTCATGTGCCCTATTTTACCGCACCCACAGTATTGGGCATTCTTTGGGGTATAAGGGTTGTTTCCCTTTAAAGCAGCTGCAAGCAATCCCACTTTAAAGTTTCTGATCCTATATCCCAACAAGCTTTTATAGACTCATCTAAAGTGGCGAGCAGAGATTTCAATGGCCGTAAGACCTTTTTACATTCTGAATTAGCATTATCATAAGATAACATTTGTAATAATAATTCTCTCAAAGCAGGTTGTGACATTGTTTTTTAAAGTACTTCTTTTAATCTAGCTATAAATTCTACATAAGTTTCCTTAGCACTTTGAATGACCTTAACCACAGAGGGAACAGTTTGGCCAGGAGAAGCAATCTTTTCCCATGCTTGAAGACAACACATTCTTGTCTGGAGAACTGCATTATCATCATATTCTACCTGCAGATTAATGCCAAAACAATCACCAGAGCCCATGAGTTGGTCTGCAGAAATAGGAACTGGGAGATTGGCATGGGCATTGCAGCAGGCCATGAACTCTGCCTCACCTCTCTACCAAGTTTTAAATTGAAGGAATTCAGCTGAACTGAGAACTGTGCATCCAATCATTTCCCAGTCTCATGGAATTAAATGTTCAGACTGAGCTAGCCCTGAAATCAACCTAAAGGTATAAGAATTCACTCCATATGAAACACAAGCCTGCTTCAATTCTTTAATAGTTTTAAAGATAATGGAGCATGATTATATTGAACATAACCTTGGGGATTTTCCTGATCACCTGGTAATTCAGTAATTGTAACTGGGTACATAGCAAAAGCCTTACGAGCATCCAAATCTCCTTCCTGTTTGGCTTGGGCAAAAGCCTTCATGACTGTAATCATGAGTAATGGTTTTTGAACAGTTAACTGAGGTGGATCCATAAAAGGGTTAGACTTAACATATATTGGGGCTGAGGGCTGTACAGGATATGCTTGAGAGACAAAAGAGGGAGGTGGAGGAAAATCTGACTTCCTTTTCTTATGGTCAATTTTGGGTAAGGCAGGTTTTAATGTAGCAGGAAGATTTCCAAAAGATGCAAACCTTCCTCCATCCTCTGTAATTGTTCCCTGACCCTGAAGCGGTAGAGTCTCCTCAGGTAAACTATCATCAGATTCAGAATCGGAGCTGTCTTTGCCTTTTTCATTTTTCATGTCCTGCAAGATCTTCTGTTCTGATTCAGATTGCCTGGGCTCTAAAGCCAAGGTTATCAAATTACACAAGGACCAAACATGTGAAGGAATAGGGTTCCCTCCTTGCTGAGCGCATTTCAAAGCCTTCATAACCAATCTCCATTGCTTTAAATTTAAAACATTATCTCCCTTCAGTTCAAGCCAGTTACAATGTTTCATATCAAAACAATTCTAAAAAAAGACTCTGGTTTCACTTTTACCCCCAAGCTCTTCAACAAAGTTTTTAGAACCTGAATATATTCTTGTTGATTTCCCATTGTAACCCTGATGAAACAATCCTAGAGACCGGGCTTACCTACACATCCACTCTTCTCCCATCTGCTGGGCACTGAATTCCCTTTCTGAAGTCTCAGAGACCACTTTCTCAGGTCCTTGTTCCAGTGCCAATATGTTGGCTATAGATCTGTTTCTGTGTGGGGTGACAGGTCCTGAGAGCTCAGTGCGGTGGATGAAAAGAAAAATGAGACAGACAAAGTTACGAGATCAGGAGGCTACCACCTCTAGGACTGAAGCCTCAGTTACACTTTTCTTTAGCCTTTATTGGGATTCTCACAAAAAGCAGGGACAGGGGAAATGAGAGGAATCACGAACAGGATTAGCAAGGGCAATACAGCTTAATTATCCCAGGAACTGAGCTTTGACTTAGCTAGCCATCACGTTACCATTCCTATGGACATATCTCAGCAAGGCATCTAGTGCTGTCCCAGCGGCTTTCCACAGGGACTCAGGTCCTGCTTTCATCTCCTTTTACACTAATGCTTTTCCTTCCTCCAGAATCAAACAATCATATGGCTTCATCGGGCTCAAAGTCCCATGTAGGTAATACATGGAAAAGTAAACTATAGAATGTCCTTCTCCACAAGAAATTATGCAAGTGCATGGAAACTAAACAATACTCTTTTAAACAATGGGTTACAGAAGAAATCAAGGAAGAAATTAATATAGTTTCTAGAACTACACAATAATGCCAGCGCAACAAACCAAAACTTATGGGACACAATGAAAGCAGGGCTAAGAGACTTGATAGTTATGAGTGTCCATATCACAAAAACCAGGAGCCCAAATAAATAACCTGAATGAAGCCACAATGAAGTGGCTCTGAGCAGTGCTCTGAAAAAGGAAATCAAAGAGGACATCAGAAGAATGGAAAGATCTCCCTTGTTTCTGGATAGGCAGAACCAATATAGTCAAAATGGTTATGCTTCCAAAATTGATATACAGATTTAATGCAATCCCAATCAAAATACCAAGAACATTCTTCAAAGAACTAGAGAAAACAATCCTAAAATTCATATGGAACGAGAAGAAACTCAGAATAGTAAAAGTAATCTCGAGTAACCAGAGCAAAGCAGGAGGCATCACAATCCCGGACTTGAAGTTACATTACAAAGCTACAGTGAGTAAAATAAATAAATAAATACATAAATAAATAAAACCAGCATGGTACTGACACAAAAACAGACACAAGGATCAATGGAATGGAACATAGGATGGTGAAAGATCTCCAAGCACATTCAGTTATTTGATCTTTGAGAGACCAAAAACATGCCCTGGAAGAATGATAGTCTCTTTAATAAATGGTGCCAGGAAAACTGGCTTTCCACATGTAGAAGACTGAGTCGAGACCCATATCTCTCACCATGCACTAAACTAAAACCAGAGTGGATAAAGGCAAAGCAGGGAAGGAGGCAGTCTGACCAGTCAGAGAGGTGGGAGTGGCTCTGGGAGAAGAGGGAGGGGAAGGGGGAGGTACTGGTTTAAAGGTGCTCAAACCTACTGCAGAGGCAGGCTGCAAGCTGAGGGATGAGAAGACCCTTGGAAACCTATAAGGAAGGTGACAATTAGCCCCCCAGAACCCCAGGAGGAAGGAGGTCCTGCACACACCCTGAGGTTAGGACCTCTGACTCCATAACTGTTAAGAACGGGTCTGTGTTGTTTTCAGCTGCTCATGTGGTAGTATGCTACTAATACAGCTTTAGGGAACTAAAACAGCCAGAGTCTCTGCCCCTGGAAGCATCTCTGTCTGGCTGAAGGATGGTGACCCTACCTTTGACTTGTCTTCAAACTCTTATCTGTTGTTTTTTTTTTTTGTACCAGGAATCAAACTCATGACCTTGCACTTGCCAGGCAGGCACTGTGCCACTGAGCTATATCCCCGGCTTCAAACCCTGTCAAGAAGCCTTTGGCGCCTTCACAACAGTCAGAGGCTCCTGGTAAGAGAAACAGCCTACGGTGGCCCCTGTGGCTCCGGGTTCCCAAAGGGCCAGCCGGGGGTCTGCAGTCACTTGACATGTACTGGAGGCCATCATTTGAACCCCTGGGGTCTGTCAAAGGATTTTTAATGTCATTTTAAAATAACTATTTTTTCCTTATTGCCAAAATGTGAGAATATTTATTTATTTATTTTTCGGTGGTACCAGGGATCGAAGTCAGGACTTTGCGCTTGCCAGGCAGGTGTTTCTGCCACTGAGCTATATCCCCAGCCGCCTTATTGCCAAAATAAAACACACAAAAACGCATCAGAAAATGCAAACACACAGGAGAAAACTCCATCAACAATGAACACCACTCCATCTGACTGAGACAATCCTGACAATACCACAACTACTTTCCAGACCTTTGAAGTAACCATATGCACAGCTCAACAAATTAACCATTCTAAAAACATGTTCACTACTATAAAATGTTCACGGGCCATTCATATCTTTCTGTGTCAACGGTACTCACCTGCAGCATGAATTTGGAAAGTGTGGTCTGTGAACCCCCGAGGGTCTCCAGGTCATTTTTTGGAGGGGATCATGAGCTCAAAGTTATTTTTATTTCAAGATAAGGTTTTTATTTATTTATTTATTTATTTTTTTTGGTTTTTCTCCAGTACCAGGAACTGAACTCACGACCTTGCGCTTGCCAGGCAAGCGCTTTGCCGCTGAGCTAAATCCCCAGCCCTTAAGATAAGGTATTATTTGGCTTTACCACTCTGATTCTTTCACAAGCATACACTAAGGTTTCCTACAGGCTGCATGGTCCATGCTACTGAGCAGTTTTTTTTTTTTTTTTTTTTTTTTT